AGTTAAGTTATCAGAGGCGACTGCAGGCATGAACTCTCATCGCAGGTACTTACACAAAAATCGCTCTGATATCCAAAGTCGCGAAAAGTTGCCGAATTTTTTATTTCACTGATTTTCCTAAAACTTATATTACTGTCAGATGCAAAAATCAGATTGGACAAATTTGGACATTTTTTACTTACACTTATTTTAATGTTTTCTACATAGTAAGTTTATCTACAATCTATGATATTGCCATATAAATAATTACATTTTAGCTCATTTGTGGCACAGTGCAACGGTGGGCCGGATGAACTGACCCCGCAGGCCGTAGTTTGGTGACCCCTGGTCTAGAGCAAGGGTTCCCAACCAAGATTGCCAAATGACGGCCCAGGGGGTGCGCAAGAGGCCTATACAAGATCCGTTTTCCCCCCAAATGTTGCCAAGAGGAAATGTCTAATGCACACTTTTTAGGGGAGGAGTGCGAGGGCCACAAAAGTTTGAGAACCACTGGTCTAGAGTTTCGAGCTTAACTTATAATATAGACTTCAATACATAGACAGTGTGTACACAATATTCAAAATGACTGTCGAGCTAGAAAAACTAGTTTCTTTAGGTGAATAAAACCCTCGAAACCAAGAAGTTCAAGCTTTGACTGGATGAGTACTATTTGTGACACACAACTCTCGAAATCACTCCTGAGGATGACGTAGTAACGTCGAAACATGTAGAGTCGTCAACTTTTTTGAAGGCCATAGATAGGCCTAAATAAAATGTTTTTAATTGTGTACCAGTTTAACGTTGAATATTATTTATGATTTTAACTTTATATACAAGTGCCAAAATACTATAACTATGAAAATAATAGGTTTGCGAGTCAAGCGTCCTAACCACCAGGCAGGCCATGGCGTGCCATCACCTCAAACATAGCGCTTCGTGTATATTCGCGCGAACATTCGAAAACTTGTCCGTTTGTAATTAAGTACAGCTCAAAGCAATACAATGTGCTATCTGTGTTGTGCCCACCACGGGTATCGAAACTCAGTTTCTAGCGCTATAAGTCCACAGACTTGCCGCTGTGCCACTAGGGGCAATTCTGAGTCAAATAAACCAATCTAAAATATATTATTTCTACCTATAGTGTCATAACAAATATGTTAATGATTTGATTGGTTAAATATATGATATGTTAATTTCCAGATATCAGATGAACTTTGATAATATCTTAATGTACACGTGGTGCTTTCTGATTATTCTTGAAGATCAAATATTATTTTACTGTCGTTTTTCTGCCAAAATATCAAAGTTAAAAAGTAAGCTTAAAACTGCTTTTCTCACTGTTATTGGGTGGACACAGCGGATGGTTCAATGTAGCTTTGCTCTAAAACAAACAAACTACTGTTGTTGGCATTTCTGGCCTCATGATCAAGGCGCTCGACTTGCAATATGAGGGTCGCGGGTTCGAATACCAGCCACCGAACATGCTGGCTCTTTCAGTCGTGGGAGTGTTATAATGTGACGGTCAGTCCCATTATTTGTTGGTAAAGGAGTAGACCAAAAGTTGGCGGTGAGTGGTGTTGATGAACTGCCTTTCCTCTAGTCTATCACTGCTAAATTATGGACGGCTAGCGTAGGTAGCTTAAGCGTAGTTTTGCGCGAAATCCAAAACAAACCAAATTCCGTAACAATCATTGATACAAACAGTTTACAAAAACATTTTTCGCAACACTATATTTTTCCATTAAAAGGCCAATTTTTAGCCGCGGCTCTGAGCTTTTTTTTCGAGTACAAACTTTTAGCTCATAGTTCCGTCATCCCTTGACTGAATTGAGATCTAATTACAGTTTTGGACTCAGGTAGTCAAACCCCTTCGATTAATGTATTTGACCAAGGCCTCATACATTAATTTACTCTAATCCTGATTAAAAAGATTTCAAGTTGAGGGTAGGCTGGTAGAGATCCTGATGAGTAATAAAATCGAATCGGGTATACGCGCGCCCCACGTTTGGTATTGCTAGCGCACAAAAATATAGCTAATAAAAACGAAAAAAAAAAAAAGATCTCGTAGATTAATTTACCCTATTCCTGCCTAAAAGAATTTCAAGTGACGTGACTATTGAGAACACCCTCTTGTTTTACATAGAAAATACAAAAAAGCATATGACGTCTGGGTTCGGAGCTAAAAAGGTTTAGTTATACACGTAACAGTATCCGTGAGAATGTGGCGGAACATATGTGAACATCCGTCGTACAAACTGAACAATAACAAAAAGTAAAGTTTCTATGTTTGTGACGAATACCTGTGTATGACCAATGACAATAAGAACGACTTACTTTCTAACTTCCCGTACTAAAAATTGACCAAAAAATTCATAATTATATGGAATTACGATAATAAACGAACCACGCCTAAGAAATAACATTTAAAAAATTATGGTTTAAACACCGAAAAGTATTGAAGTATCAGAAACAACTAGGCCTAAAATTTGTGATAAAAATTATGTAAACTGCAGTCATTGCTTTTGTGCTGTTTTTTGAAACCACCAGTTGAGAAGTCTGTTTTTTTTTTTAAATCAATAACATTATGGTTTTTGTTTTGTTTTTTAGGCTTATTAAAACCACGGTGTAATAAACTAACAACCATAAGTTTTTATGCTCATTAAAGCAAACAATTAAAGGTTTTCTAAGCCAATAAAACTACGCTTTTTTATGTTTATTAAGGGCAACACCATTGAATTTTATTATTATTTTTATTTCTGACAGAAAATGTCCCCCAGTAGCTCGGCTGTAAGTCTGTAGGCTTACAACGCTCAAACCCGGATTTCGATCCCCGTGGTGGGCTGAAAACAATAACAAAAATCACACTTTATAAGAGATGATTATTACTTATTTTTAAACTGATATACACACCCGCTCCCTTACTTTGATAACAACAGTTTTTGACTTTCAATAAAATTAGCTTTAAGTGGTTACCGTGTTTGTTTTCAAATTTGTTAATCACATCATCTTGTAGTGACCGAAAAAATAGTTTAATGAACAGTTAATCTAAATCTCCTAAATAAAATTCGTTATGCATACATTCAAGCAATGGTTTGGTTTGATTTAAAATAGTGACATATATATACATCTGGTGTTTGATGTCAGTGAATCAATGTTTTAGGAAGGTGTGTATATATACATCTGGTGTTTGATGTCAGTGAATCAATGTTTTAGGAAGGTGTATATATACATCTGGTGTTTGATGTCAGTGAATCAATGTTTTAGGAAGGTGTGTGTGTGTATATACATATATAAAATTTCACTCTCGGGTACTGCTGCTGAAAACGTTTTAAAAATAAAAAGGCGTGTGCCACATTTCCTGTTCCATAAAGTTTTAATGAAACGTCTTGAATAAACAAAGAACACGCGAGGCATGGGCAAAGAGCGTGAACAATTGTTAGAATTATATATGTAATATATATATATATACACTAAAGATTCACAGAGATAGGGTAATATATATATATACACACACCAAGGATTCACAGGCAGAGGCGTAGCCAAGGGGCCCGCCCCTATCAAAAATCTAGGGATATTGATCACATATTATTTTTCAGCTTTTATATATAATAAACTCGTTTTGTATTATTTAATATAAAAATACAACTTCTATAAACACTATTACACTATTACCCATTTCAGTTTTTAATTTATTGGCTCCTCTCCCTTACAATTTTCTGCCACCCCCTGAGTAGAAAACCTGGCCAAGACTGTTCAACGGAGTAGGGGGTGGAACAACAACGTGAGGAGTAAGTCGACGGGGTTACGTTTTATAAAGTTCGAAAACTTTAAATGATCAGTTTTCATAAAGTCGTGAACTAAAAGTTAACTGAAATAGTCGTTATCATAAGAAGATTAGAGACACCGCCAGCTCTTGGACTATTAGGAGTAACAAACACAAATGAAAAAAAAAAAACGTTACTCAGCTGTAACCTATAACAAAGATTTTACCTCTCACTGTGCCCCCCCCAAAAAAAAACATCGTTTTTTGTGTCTTTTACTATTATTTTACCAACGGATAGTGGGATTGACTGTCACATTAACACCTCCACAGCTGAAAGGGCGAGTATGTTCGGTGACGGGTATACGAACCCACGACTCACAGAGTGCGAGTCGAGCGCCCTAACCACCAGGCCATGCCAAGGCCAATCATGTCAGTTCAGCACAAATATGACAAACATATAAACCCAATGCAGGGGTTTATATGCAAGTTATGGAACTTCCCGAACCATTTGAAGCACGTCCGTTAGCTTCATATGTTTACAATTAGTATCACACGATAGTAAATTGTTTACCTACTTCGTGACCGGAAATGACTACGTTTCAGTTAATAATGGCTGAAGACTAGATATATGAGGTAATATCAGTCTCAACATAACTGCAACATGATATAAATAATGAAACAGATGAGTTGCTACACTCTGTGACAGCAGCTTTTATCATATCCATTAGAAAATGAGAACGAGAAGCAACGCGAGGGCGGAGGAAACGTTATGTGGCGCCATCTGTCAGGAAATATAATAACTATAAAGATATTTTAGGTGTCAGTACGCAAAAGTGTTGAAACACGATCAGAGTGACCTTCACGACACCAATAGTGTTGAGGGTGAGTCAGAACCTTTACCACGTGACACTTCCTCTCTCCCCCCCCACACTTCTTTGAGTAGACTGAATACTGCGCCAAGAAATGTGAGGTCTACAAACTTATTACTCCTTCCCACACGTGCAAGAGCCTCACAGAAGCGTCTCTAAATCTGAGACGTTTAGGAAAGGAGGAATTAAAGTCAAGACTATTTGAATGGAAGCCAGAGAAGGATCTGCCAGCAAGCACAAAAGTTCCGTTTAGTTGAAGGCTTCTCCTCGATGCACAAGTCAGGAATATTTGTGGTTGAATATTTGAACGTTGCAAGAAACTAATGTGGTTCATGTTAGTCTTAAGTCTTCTGTAGTGATATGACGGGAGATTTAGCTCGACTTTGTTTAACGTGACTGACGAAACTCAACGATCTCTACTTTGCGTAACAGCAGGAACTGTAAAACGAACCCTAACTTGCGTAACGGCAGGAACTGTTACTACAAGTTCTGTTAAAACGAACTCTTAGCTTACGTAACAGCAGGAATTGTAATACCCTTCTTGTCAGCTTTTAATCAATAAAGACCCAGAATGATGGCGACTTAACCAATGATGAACCTACCAGAATGATGGCTACTTCCGGACTTACCAATTGATGAACCTATATCTCTGGGTGCACGAGAAGAATTCTTAAGCCTACCAAGTTATCTGTAAATCATTGTATTAATGACTTATCATCACTTACAGGACTAGCCCTGACCCTATATTATTTTCGATAGTCTCTTTAGCATGCGTGAATCGGAGTTTGAGGCCTGCTCAAACCCACGAAAGATAATTATGTATAAACATTATACGATAATGAACAAAATGTAATAAGCGAATCGGTATACGCACTGCCTGAAAGAAAACAACCGAAACGGCGAAAGGAAAGTTATAAGGAATTGTTAAACAAATGCACGTGAACCATCGCTCGTATTCCACACCGAAAAATGAATGAAAATACAGCGACAGCTCAGAATAGCATGGAATTAACACAGAAGCCTGCTTCTGATAAAATACAGGTACTCCAAATCCACGCCGCAGTCATTCCACCATACACAAAATCCAAAGTAAAACTATTACGTGGAATTCTTAAATCGCGTCATCCTCCATTCAGACCAGAAAATTTGTTAACCTCTGAAAACGAACATAATAAACATAGTAACTCCATTTCAACAAACCTTGGTTCAAATGTGACGCCCGCTGATGTAAACGACAAGAAGACTTCCCTTGTTACCAAGTGGAAACATGGTGGCGCAACTGGTCGATCCAAAGTAGTAAGGATCGTAACCCCAACTGACGATATCCACACCAATGATGTGTGCCCAAGTTCTAAGTCAGAAGCCGCAGAGTCAAAAGAGAAACAATCAGCGACACAGAAACGAGAATCAGGCATGCAACCACGAGTACAGAGTAAACTGCTTTGTAATCAGATGTCTGTGGTGAACCAACACCCTCTGGGGGTGAAAGAAAGAGAAGATAAAGTACCTTCTTTAAATGACAATCAATCTTTTCCACCGTCAATTAGAAAGATCTTCTTTAAGACCCCATTTTCTAAAAGCCTAAAAAAAAGTTCACAGACTGAAGGTACAGTTAAAGGTGAGAGAGAAATCAACTCTTTGTTGCAACATACACTTTCCAAAGGTCGTCAGAAGACGCAGAAGTTAATAGCTCCTTTGTCATCTCGATCAATGTTATTCACTAGTTTACCCCCAACAGTTAGGGAAGGTATTGCTGACCGTACTGAACGTATTACTGGATACAAATCTGCAACAAATAACAAGGAAACTAAACCCCCATTACCACCATCCCGTCTACAAAATTTTGTAAATGTTAAGCTAAATTCTGGAATAAGGGGCCGTATTGCTAGTGCTCGTAGGCAGTTCTTGGAAGCCATTCAGAATACGGAAAATTTTAAAAATGATGACGGAAAAGAAGACTGTGTAAGGCATAAATTTGAAGCGTTTAAGCAGTCTACCAAAGTTGATAGAGCTCGTCTGATAAACAGCAGCCCCGACCTGATGGCGATAGAAAGAGCTGTGCGCAACAGTAGGAAACTTATTGATCGGACTTCAGCTTCAATGCTGCAGGAAAATAACGCAGAGCTCAGTTGTTCCGAGCCTTGTCGCCATGCGGGTGATTCTTCTCATGTGTGGCCAGATTATCGTCAGAAGTTGAACAGGTACAAAGAGATATGTAAGCAGGAGAAAGCGTCGAGAAGGAGAAGTAGGAGTTTGGGCTATCTAGAAACGGATATCGACACTTTAGAATGTAAGCTGCAGATCTGTGAACCGCGTCTCATTAAAGATCACACAGACACTCGGAGCATACTTAGACCTGGTAATAAAGACCCAGAAAATCTGAACACTCTAATGGAAGGTAATGTACGAGCTCGAAGTATGGACTTTTTAATAGACGACGACAATCGATTGGCTGCCTTACCCCCAGAAAATACTTTGAATTCTACCAGGACTCTGTCTGAGTATGAGCTGCGGGTAGAGCGATCTCTGCAAAACCTGAATCTTCCAGACTGGTATAGTAAGCGGTCACAAGATGGATTATTTTTGAAGCGAGAAGAAGGAAGAAGACGTCCACGATGGCAAGGGTTGGGGTCAAGAACTCCCTCTTCTAGTAGCCTAACTTCTTCCAGCTTTTCGGAAAGAAAACTGACAACCCTTGACCGTATATCTTATACCGACTGGCGTTATGTAGGATCCCTACACTCATCACGGGATAGTTTAACAGGAGTTAGTGTCGGATCAGTGTCGCCAGGAGTTAGTGTCGGGTCAGTGTCACCTGCTGACCCACACCCACTGTCCAGGCGTAGTACCCCATTAAGTGGGTGGTCAGCTTACCGATCTTTTAGACAGCCATACTTGGGATGGAGAGCAGCAGTTGGCCAAACGCCAAGCACCAATTTTTCAGGAGCTTCTTCCCCAGTTCAGACTGTTCCAATGACCAATAGCCGGTCTGAGTCACCTGGTTGGAGCCCCGAAGATGTGCAGTTCGTTCCTTCTTTCCTTGGTGACCAGCACGAGGCAGAGGGTGCGACAGAAAGTATTCTTTTCACCGCTGCTAGTAAGAACTTAAAGAAATACGATGGTCCTCCCCCAATGTATCCCCTCAAATATGGCACCGAAAAGAGGAACGACGACCCTACTGGTTCATACGAAAAAGGCTCACGTTCTTATTACTTCTATAAAACCAGCTCACCTATGCATTACGAGGGACTAGCTCACATTAGATCTCCGTCTCGTCAAACAAGCGCATCGTTAGAAACACACCTATTTCTCCAGGACGATAACACCCCACATTTATACGGAGAAAATTCTGTAAAAAACGGTACATCTCCAAAATTTCGCGCTTCTCGGAGTGACACAACTAGCTCTCCCTCTGTCCAAGACAACCCGACTGCAAGGACCTCGCACCAAGAATATCGAAGTCACAGAAGCTCAACAAACAAAGATTTTCCCTCATACGGGGTCCCAAGTAGAGGTAACTCTTCACATTATCACAAGAGAAGTTTCGCGGATGAAGGTTTGAACTCCGCGTATCTTCCTGAAAGGAGAAACAGAGATATTTTCACAGAAGCTGACGTTCATCGAGGAGGAGAAGTTTCGATTTTACAGGAGCAGAAACGCTCGGTTAGTGGTCCCAGTGGACGAACTTCGGAGGATCCAAATGACGCATTCTCGTCATTCATCCACGACTTCGACACTTGGTTCCAACGCACGCGGGAGTATGACCTCGAAAAGGACAGATTTTCGTACATTCGAAGCATTTATAATGGTACGACTGTTCCCAATACGGCAACAGAGAAAGAAGCTCACCAACCAATTATTGCTGACAACAGGTTATACGAAAACCAAAACCAAACCATTTCTTCGTCGCAGCACGTGATGAGATCGAGACCTACTACACGTGTAACTTTAACAGAAGAACCTTCCACAGAAAGTAAAAATGAGGATGATAAGTACCACGACTGGTATGGTAAGTAAAATGTAAAACAATATGAAAAGTTTGGTAAAACAAGGAAACTTACAAACTATAATCGCGAATAGTGGGATTGACCGTCACATTATAACGCCCCCACGGCTGAAAGGGCGAGCATGTTTATATATATATACACAATAGTTTCTTTGTTTGCTATGGATTTCGCGCAAAGCTACACGAGGGCTATCTGCGCCTAGCCGTCCCTAATTTAGCAGTGTAAGACTAGAGGGAAGGCAGCTAGTCATCACCACCCACCGCCAACTCTTGGGCTACGAATAGTGGGATTGACCGTCACGTTATAACGCCCCCACGGCTGAAAGGGCGAGCATGTTTGGTGTGACGGGGATTCGAACCCGCGACCCACCGATTGCGAGTCGAGCACCCTAACCACATGGCCATGCCGGGCCACATATACAATCGAGAAACGAGTGCACCGTTATATCTTAATACAAACTAAATAGTCTTAGCATCCCTGTAAAACCTGGCTGATATAATAGCGAATGGATAAAGCTTAGTCCCGATGTTTCTTTATTCAATATTAATTGTTTGTAGTTCGCCTATACAACAAAGTTAACACCTTTAAGGAAATAATATTTTCAGACGTTAATCCTTTTAACAGTTATTGTTTGTTTGCTCAGCCCACCACGGGTATCGAAACCCGGTTTCTAGCGTTGTAAGTCCGCAGACATACCACTGCGCCACTGTAATATTTTCAGACGTAAATTGCTAAATGTTTTAACAATTATAATATGGAAAACAAAGTTAATTTCTAAAGGTAAACAAAACTTGAAACAGAATGTCATTTCAGATTTCAGTATGGAGGGGGAGGGGGAGCTGCTTTTATTAGAGATTGAGAGGAGTTAGTCCCCTGTACGGTCTTGTAACATTCGCTCGGGTTTAGTTTGAATATTATTTAATAACCATTCAAATAATGCAATTTACACATTTTATCTACGTATGTGTTTATGTGTTATTTCTAAAATAAACTGTATATTATTAAGTTCGGGGGGAGGGCTACTGATCCCCCCCCCCTGTCCTACCTGAATGACACTCCTGATCTTAAACTGAATATAATGGTAATTTTGACGACCGTATTTACACTAAACGCGATAGAGAATTTGTCGTGATATAAGTAACCCTAACAACTGGTGTAGTCACTCATGTAGCTAAGACGTGGATTATAGTAATTTAAATTTTGATAAAATGTTTTATTGAGTAAGTTTCAGATTAAACAGGGGTTTGTTTACACTTGCACGAGTAGCTTAGTCCACATTTTATAAAACTGTTAATTATTTCACAACAGGAGGTTGCCCTGAGTTGGTATTTACACTTACGAATCTTCGCTTTATCGGTATTTAGGTTTTATAGACCTGGGACGGGGGTCAGGTACGTTTGACCTCTTCCTCCATTTATAGATCTTGGTTTAGTTTGTTTTGAGGTTCGCGCAAAACTACACGAGGACCATCTGCTCTAGCCGTCCCTAATTTAGTTTTAGTGATAGACTAGAGAGAGAGAAGGCAACTAATCAACACCACCCACCGCCAACTCTTACCAACAAACAGTAGGTTGATCGTCACATTATAACGACCCCTCGGCTGAAAGGGCGAGTATATTCGGCGACAAGGATTCGAACCCGCGATCCGCAGATTGCGAGTCGAACGTCCTGACCACCAGGCCACGACTTATAGATTTTTCGTCACATTTTGTTCTGTTTATATAAACATTAATTTGATAGTTCAAAACAACGACTTGCTTTACGTATCTGGACATATCTTAGTGTATATATGTTGTACAGAATATTATCTTATGAATAATGAAAGGTTTATGATCTCCCTGTTTAATTTTAATAAAACACGAGTTCCAATTTGTAGCTTACATTAAGTTTCACTGTAGTTTGTTTGTAAATAAGCACAAAGCTACACAATGGGCTATATCTGTGCTCTGTCCTCCATGGGTATCGAAGCCCGGTTTCTAGCGTTGTAAGTCCACCTACGTGGCGCTGTGCCACTGGGGGGGGGGGGAGGCTTCACCGTAGTAAACAATGCTTAGTATAAAACGAACATTTAAAACTTTGTTCAGATACTAAAAAAAAAACCTGAATAGGTTGCAACGCTGAAGACGTTTTCTCTACGCTCACATGTACTAAAAGATCTAACCATGTACATAAGTTCTTATTAATATTGATATTTCAGTTTTAAGACAGAAGATTTTACGCTAACCCTATTTCTGCGATTAAACAAAGCTCTTTCATCCACTACCAAAAGTCTCACAAAAAAAATATAATCTCGTGTAGAAAGTAAAGCGATTCGTATTGTATAATAATAAGCACTTTAATACTACACATTAACTATATATATATATCAGAGTCGTCGCTAGACACTGGCACACGTGCCCCGATTCTATTTGATAGTGCCCAGTGTCTGGAAAAATCAGGATAGAAAGCCGTGATCGATATTATACTGAAACGCCGAAAATTCACGCGCCTACGGGCCCGAGCCCCAAATCTTTTAAGATATGTATCCGTGTGTCCGTCCGTGTTTTTAGTCATCTAAAAAATCAATATTACGCCGCACGAAATGGACGGCATTCTTTACAGTTAACCGACATACTTAATAAGTTCCCTGTACAAAATATAATAATTGTTCTTTACCAGCTGAATATATATATACGTAGTATCAATGTAAATACCCTCATTCGTCATTATCATATCCATACGTAGTATCAATGTAAATACCCTCATTCGTCATTATCATATCCATACGTAGTATCAATGTAAATACCCTCATTCGTCATTATCATATCCATACGTAGTGTCAATGGAAATACCCTCATTCGTCACTATCATATCCATACGTAGTGTCAATGGAAATACCCTCATTCGTCACTATCATATCCATACGTAGTGTCAATGGAAATACCCTCATTCGTCACTATCATATCCATACGTAGTGTCAATGTAAATACCCTCATTCGTCATTATCATATCCATACGTAGCATCAATGGAAATACCCTCATTCGTCATTATCATATCCATACGTAGCATCAAT